AAAAATAAAATAAATAAAAATTTTATTTTTACCTAATAAATCGGGCGTTACTTTTGGTGACTACTGTACGTACGTATACGTACCTTTTTTAGTCAGTTGGTCGCATGATCCAATAGACGTTACCTTCTAAACAAAATATCGGTACATCATGATGCAACTATTTTTTATTAGTGAAACGTTACATTCTTTCTATAAGTAAATTGACCCGGAGCCAATCTTCTTCCTATATATATCAAGATTTACAAGCTGCAAGTCAGATATTTACAGCCAATAAAATGGATTTCAAACATTGTTAACATTTACTAAAATGCATCTAACTTTGACCTCCCGATTCTTAGTATTAAGGCATTCTGTCCCCGTAAGACATTTTGCAAACATCATTTCTTTACGACAAGCAGACAAAGCCATCCAAAGAAGCAATGATCAAGTCATAATAAATCCTTACACATTAGAAGGTTCAAAACCAATTTTAAAGAAATCACCTCAAATTTTAGGCGTCAAAGAGATACCAAGATCAAATGATCAAATTAATCGATTAACATGGTTCCAAAGATTGAGCAATGTATTTGATAAAGAAAAAAATAAACAAGTCAGAGAAAAATTGTAAGCCTTAAAGAAATATTTATTCATCCAATTACATGTTGCGTGCTTGATTTACTATATATTTTAGAATAAGAGAATATAACACTCCATACTGGAAAGATTTAATCGAATTAAGAAAAGATGGTGAAAAGTTATGGGAAGCTAATCCTGAGTTAGTCAGTGCTGAGGTTCGCGTTCTTTATTTTGAAAACCAATAGCTTTGTAGAATAACGAATTGCGATTTTAATTTAAAAAAAAACATACATACATACATAGAAAGCATTATACATGCCTAATATCAAGGCGTGTTCCTTATCTAATCCAAAAATCGATACGACAGATTTACTTCAAAACCAAACTTCTTTAGCCGTCATAAGCTTCAATCAGTATGGAGAAGTATTTGTCGGTTCAACTTAGTATAGAATAGAACTATACATCGTATTTTTATTAATAAAATGACACTCTTGACAGGAACATGTAAAAACATTCATTGAACCATTTTTCAAAAATTTCTCTGATCACGCAAAGATACAATTTATGAAGGTTTTTATTATAAAATTTAAAGCTTAGATTTTTGATCTTTTAAATTGGTGGTATGAAATTATATAGTTTTTATAATAATTATAGGTGACTATTGAGCCGAATTTTGCAAAGTCTTTAATTATAAAATTATTCGTGATTCCATCTTTAAGAAGAAGTATTCCCGAATCACTTCATGTAAGATTTATAAATACTCAATTTTTACTGTTCGTATTTCTCACTATTAATTACTCATTCTACTAATTAATTGAATTTCAAAAAGAAAAATTATATTTTTGCTTTCAATAAGGATCCAATCTTGTTTGAAGCATTGGGAATGAATAATTTGTATAGGGGATACGCGTTCTTGGTTGATTCAAATTGTAAAATAAGATGGTCTGCCCATGGAAAGGCGACATCAAATGAATTAGAAACTATGCTAAAATTGACTAAATTTTTAGGCAATGAGAATGTTAGATAGAATATTGATAGCTACCCCAGTAAGACATGAAAGATCGACAATATATACCAATCAGATGATCTGCACTAATTAAACAATCGAATTTTTAAAAAGTAATAAAAACCTACGTAGGGTTGGGCTTGTGACTAATTTTACGGAGAATTTTTTGTTAGTGCGCAGTAGGTGGTTTCATAGAGAGTCGCGCGATTTTTCATGGTCCTACTGGGTTAGCTCACTTGATAAACGCATTGATTGGAATAGACCTTTGTCACATGTCACGTATCGATTATCCGAGAATTATTCGCATTTTAATTGGTTATTCGCAGATACGTTATACAAGATATTTCAACCTAACGAAAAGTGTAAAAAATTAAATACTTCATTTATAAGTGGATAAAATGACTAAAAGATCACAGCAAGCGAGCTATTCTGACGATAAAGATTCAAGCGAAGTGTCCGAACCTACAACTTCGAAACGTGTTCGTTTCACTGATGAAAATTCCGTAACAAACCAAGAGGTAGAAGGTGACTTCGAATTTGATCACGGTGATTTTCTGGAATCTGCAAAAAAACGTCGTGGCGCTGTCAAACTGGAAGGTTATGCCAGTGATGAAACTGATACTAGTGATGATGATGGTACAGAACGTTTCAACCGTCGTTCTGGTGGTGAAGGCAGTAAAGGAAAAGCTACTGAAGAAGATTTAGAAGATATGTTTGCTGAAGAGGATCCTTCTTCGACATCGAAACAAAAAGTTTCATATAGTTCTGATAAGAAAAAAATCAGATATTTAGATTCTGATGAAATTGTTGGTCAGGATTATTCTTCTAAAGATATGTTTGACGATGATTCTGGTGAACCTGTGATCGAGGCTTTTAATATGAAAGCCGAATTAGAAGAAGGAAAATTTGATGAAGCTGGAAATTACATTCGGAATAAAAAAGATCCTGAAGCATTTCACGATAATTGGCTTCAAGGTATTTCCCGTAAAGATATTGAAAAAGCAAGGATTGCTCATGAAAAACAAGAAAAAGAAAGACTGCTTAAAGAAGCCCAAGAAGCTTCAAATGATCCAATGGATAGAGTATCAATATGGAAAGAACTCTTGACCATAATGAAATGTGGCGAGACATTACTTGATACCTTTCAACGACTGGGTGGTGGTACAGGTGCTAAATCTAAGAATAAGCGCACTTCAAGACAATACTCCAAAAAACCAAAAGGAAAGTCTATGGAAATATCTGAACCTCCTCAACCACCAGAACAAAAAGAACTTAGTGCCGAGGAAATACAGGAACAAGATCGTAAAAAGTGTATAGAACGCCTCACCGATCTATCTGATAAAATGATGGCTTTGGGACATTTTGATGTATATAGTGATACATGGGAACAAATTTGGAGCAACCTAAAGAAAGAAGGTGCTGTATCTGATGACTGGAATCCATAATGTTTGGTTTCGCATAGAGTTTAGAACCGGATTATAGTAAACCGGGTCACCCGTGTCAAAACGGTTCAACCGGGTCAGAAGTTTACAACTCGGGTCAAAACGGTTGAATATGTAACCTTGAAAATTTTATTACTATCACACAGAAAACATAACAAAATTTAACACATTATTATTGTATTGTGAATAAACATCCTTTTTTTTACTAATTTTATCTAAATGTTCAATCCCGTTAATCTAGATTTAAAAAAAAAGTTACAAACTTTTGGAGGTTACTATACGGTCTATCTATTGTGGCGAAATTTTGTCAAAAATTTTCCTTCGTATAAACCTTCATTACTATTTTCTTGCTTGGCTAATATGCCATACACTGTGTTTGACACGTTTGATAGTGAGAATTCGTAGCGCTGGGGTTTGGGTCATGTAACGTATGAATGACGTGTGATCGTTAATAGAGGGTGATGCATAAAATTAATTAAAAGTCTGATATGTACGTACGCGGTGTGACACGATTTTTTAAATATATAGTGAAAAATTAAAATTCATATGGTGCAAGAAGTCTAGAACGTCACGTGACCGGAGTGGTCAAAATTTTTTAAAAATTTTTTAGCCAATCAAATTCTAGTTCATAAATTTTTTAAAAAATTTTATATTAGTATAAAATATTTTAGCTAATAATTTTAGTTTTAGTAAATTAAAGAAAAAATTTTTTTTGTAATAATATAATACTGTATTAGCTTTAAATAACAATAATACTAAATCACACTGTGGTGTTTAATATTAGATTATTAAAACAAATAAAATTTGATTAATATTTAGGGTTAGGGCTAAGGTCTAAAATAAAACAAAAGCATAGTTTATATTAAAATTTTGCAAGGAATTTTTTTTTATTAGAATACAAAAAGTGGTTTCATAAGCAAAATTTTAAATTATTAAAAGTTTTTCAAAAAATAACAAAGGTTTATATTATATCTAATCTTGATATTATATTGCAGATTAATAATTTTGTTGATTAAAATTGATGTGGTATTAAATATCACTAGTGTGATTTAGTAAACCCGTTAATTAATTTACAAAAAAATTTTTTTTGTTATAGTGTTATTTATTATCTAATTATTTTTTATTAGAGATTTATCTTCTTTTTTTTTTTTTAATACAGTATATATAAAATCAGAGTTTAATATATAATTTTAACTTTTTTACTTCTTTTTCTTCTAAAAAATTATCTGATTTTTGTTATTTTCCTTATAATATTAAGGCAAACTCTGCAAACTCTGCAACTCTTATTAAAAAATTAATAATTACTAATTATTAATAAAGCTTATTTCTTATAATGCCTACCTATTTTATAGAATATTTTATTATTATAGTACTATGTATAGTATTATAGTATTACTTTAAATATAAATACAAAATTAATATAATATATAAATCAAAACAATCTAACCTTTATAAAAAATAAATTTTTAATTAAATTTAAATTAAAGTTGAAATTAAAATTAGATAAAATATAGTTTATATTAAAATTTTATAAAAAATTTTTTTATTAGAATATAAAAAATAGTTTTTTAAAGGCAGTGTTATTTATCACCTGATTATTTTTTATCAGAAGCTTACCTCCCTCCCCCTCTTAATATAAAAAAAAATCAGGTTCTTATATATAATTTTAACTTTTTTTATCTCCTCCCCCCTAAAAAATCATTTGATTTTTGTCACGTCTCTAATTCAAATTTTTAAAGAGTTATATATATATACTCAAGAGTACATATACTTGCATTATATGATATAGTATATAATAATATAACTTAAAATTGAATATCTATAATCATTAAAATTTTTATTTATTTATATTACATAAGAGAGTTTCTATTTGTATACGGGTGTTTAAACATGGACATATGAATATCCAATCAGAACACATGATCAGGTATAACGTAAAATTAATGTGTTCTTTAAAAAATTAGTTACAACTTAATATTTTGCTTATAAAACCACCTTTTGGATATTAATTAAAAACATTCCTTGCGAAATTTTGATATAAGCTATCTTCCACCTCTATTTCAAACTTATCCTTACCCTAACCTTAGACAGCATTAATTTTTCGTTCTATGCAAATTATTTTAATTTACACATTACACAGATTTGTAAATTAATATTTATCTACAGACACCCTGTGTACAATTAGTTATTTTCATTGCATAAATATATTTACTAATAATTTACTTTAACAATCTTTATTTTTAATCTAAACACCTATTTTTAATCCTAAACCTGTTTTATTTATTTTTAACTTTACTTATTTCTAACTATAAACCTAATTCAAATCTAATCTACCTATTTCTAATTCTAAATCCAACTCAAACTATAAGATTTAATTCTAATTCTAAAATCTCAACTATTACATCTGCTAATGTCTTTTCACAAGATCTGAATTTTTTATATTCTGCCAATTTAAAGCTTATAGTAAACCCGATTCTAGTATATAATTAAAAGTTTGTATTGTTAAGAGAAAACTTTGAAGTGTATTTGTATTTTGTATTTATAATAGGGCTAGATATTTGAAAAAAACATATTTGATTAGACATGAGATTTAGCTATTATTAAATAATCAAATAAAAAAATAGTACTTATTATGCAGAAAACTTATGATTATCTTTTTATCTCTTTTGAAGATTATAGCAAATCAGTATGGTTTGGATAAGCAGATCAGTATAATACAGACCAAAATTAAAAACTATATTATACTGATCAGCTATAATTCATATCCTAATGCTAATATATATATATAATACTGGATCAGTATAGTATAGATTCTGAAATTCAGTCTGCACTATACTGATCTGCTTACCTATATTATTCTGATCTGCAAAACAACTCAGCTTATGACAGATAACCAAATAACTAGTAAATCTACAATAATCATTTATATAAATAAATTAGTTTCATCTCTAAGTTGATTAATATATAACCCATAGACCTATTATTATAAAGAGCCTTGTATATAGTAATTATTCTAACTGAAATCTAAAAAAGTTAGCATGGTGTCTTTACAAACTAATCTGCTAATATTTTTTATTATTAGTATGATGCATTAATCAATATTCATCAAGCTTGTTTCTATTAGAGCAGTATTGTGTTCTTGTAAGATATATTAGCTAATGCTTTTCATTCTTCTGATTTAAAGAAGTTAGTGTCATTTTCTTGTAAAATGCATTAGCTAATATTTTTTATCCTTTTGATTCAAAGAAGTTAGTATCATATTCTTGTAAAATACATCAGCTAATACTTTTTATCTTTCTGTTTTAAAAAAGTTAGCGTCATATTTTTGTAGATGTATCAGCTAATGCTTTTCATCTTTCTGTTTCAAAGAAGTTAGTATCATGTTCTTGTAAGATACATTAGCTAATGCTTTTCATTTTTTTGATTCAAGATTACTTCTATTGAAAGATCCAAAAAAGTTATATAACACAATATTTTTGCAAAATACATATGCTAAATAACAACACCAAAATGAAGAAAATTATACTTATAAATACTTCAAAAACTTGACAATATAAAGCCTTCCAAGCAATGACAATA